GGGGTCTGAAGGAACATAAAGTAGGGTCACCCAATCAGCAGGCAGTTAACAGAAAGCTCCTTGAGACACCCAAGGCATTCTCTGAGTCCCTTCAATGACCATAAGGCTTCAAAGTGAGATTTTGTTTGAATAAAGGGTTTTGTGACTAAATAAAGGTCTTAAAACCATTAATCTAGTCCAATCTCCTCTTTTAGCAAGAATAAAACAGGGTCCAGGAGAGGTAAATTACGCACTTGAGGCAATAATACCTTAAGTTAGTTGTAGACCAGGCTACTTGCTTTGAACTTGAGCTGGAAACTACTCATTGATCTTCCTATCACACCGTTTTGGCAGATGAATAAGCACTGGGAGTGGACACACCCAGAATTCACAGGCACTGGCCAGGAGGATGGGCTGGCCCTGATTGCATGTTGAAGTGCTTTTCTACCTTAGCTTCTAAGCCAGCTCTCTGTGCCAAGATGATGCCTCCAATTCCTCTCAGGAGTTGGCCAGATACCCCTTCCAGGAGAAATTCATTGGCTCCAAGAGTAGGTCTGCTTCTGGGCCTCCTAGCCAGTACCCAGGCTTTATCCTATTAACATGCTCAAGCACCCTGTGGTCGGCAAGTTGAGAGAAAGAACTTAGCTTAGCCAGTCACCATAGCCTATTTAATACCCAGCCTGAGCTGGCTAGACCCATCTCTCATTTCCCTAACTACCACTGAGCTAATCACTTATCATGACCAGGGGTTCAAGAGAATCAGATTATCAGTAAATTAAAGGACCTATTGTATAGATAAACCAATATTACTTTTGTTAGCCTCCACTTTGAACCTCTCAGGAATGAAATGCTGCTTCATGTTTTGGAGATAGGACTTTTGTATACAAAGACAGGGGTAGTTTACTTTAGTAAGATGAGTCTGCAGTTTAGGCCTTTAAACTGAGGGGAAACAAACACTTTGGAATCTATAAAAATGGGTTTAAAGCTTAGTGATACCACTTAGTAGTTGCAAGACCATTGGCATGTCTCAAATATTCTGAATCTCAACTACCTTGATCATAAATAGGGAATACTGTGCTAATAAAACTTGCCTCACAAATGTGAGACTCAAAATGCTCTTTTGAATCAGTCACTTATCAAAAGTATTAGATTGATTTTCACATATAATTGAGACCATACAGTTTTAAGTTACTTACCCTCAGAGCACAATAATGGAGAAAGAAATGGAATCAAGGTGCTCAGTGTCTCATGGGATAAGTTCAATATAGCACTGGCAGACATGGGTTGGAATCTGCACTTCCCCATTCACAAACTGTGGAATTCTAGGAAAGTTACTTAACCTCTCTAGCCTCAGTCTCCTCACTTATAAAATGTGGTTAACACAATCTAACTCACAGGGCTACTGTTAGTAATAAATGAAATAATTAAAGTAAAGGGCTTTAAACAGGGGCTGGTTTATGGTAAGGACTCAATAAACAGTAGCCTATTTTACTGTTCACTCTTTTCTTAAGCCCTCTTCTCTATCCCCCTCTCTAAAACATGAGAAGCAGTTAGCAAAGCCCAGATTACCTCAACTATTAGAGAAAGTAATGAAGAAAAAGACAAAAGAGGAGGAAAGGGTCGTGAGTGAACTGATGGCTGCTGTTCCAGACTACTTGTCATATTAACGGCATCTGACATTGAAAAACACAGCTACAACATTCTGAAGAACAAACCACAGCATGCGCAATCTTTCCAAAGGAGTGACAAAGAGTACCAACTGCATTTTTGCTAGGCTATCCACTACTCTTTAATAATCTGGACTCCACAGTACAGTCCCTGCCAAGCAGAAAGTGCTACAGGAAGGCAACTCTGATGCCACATGTAAATCATTGCTTCTCTGTAAACCCATCTCTATCATAGAGACTTCACTGACTTCCCCTAGCCAACTCAAGTACTTGTCTCACGTGCCCCACTGAATTGTTGCACACTTCCATTACAGCAATTATCTTGTATTGTAAGGGTTCATTTGCATGTCTCTTCACTACACTGTAAGTTGATAAAGATCCTGTATTACTCATCTGTGATTTCCCAGTGAATAACACACAGATCACCATAATTACAAATTGAAGGATGGGTTTCACCTTCTTTCACTAGTTAAGGCTGCTAAGAAACAGCTGGGGAGACACTAGTAGAAACTCGCACACAAACTAAGTTCTGCCAGACCAGACCCGTTTTGGGGGGACTTTGTTTGATTGGAGTTTGAAGGAATGACTGACTGTTCCTGCTTCTCAGAGTTACTTTCTTAAAAACACAAAGAATAGGGCAGAACCAGTCCATACAGAATTTCCAGACAACAAATTATATTCTTTCTTAGTAACAGATAACAGAAGTGTGTGAGATGAATGCCAATGGTTACATACAAAGTTGACCTCCAGGCATGACACTCTGGAAGGATATTATGCTACTAGACGTTCTTAAGTTCACAAAACAATTAGGGAAGAAAAGCTAAGAAGCAAAGATCAAAAATGTCTTACATCAAGAACCCTGATATATGTAACTGATATCAGGCTCCCCTAAAAGAGAGCCCATAACTAACAAACCATTTACAATAACTTCAATACAGTATTTACCTTTTTCAAGGTGCTTTCAAATGTATCTGTGAACCGCAGCCAACTGTAATCACAGAAACTTAAGCCTGGAACAGGCCTTGGAGGTCATTTCCACAACCACCTCACCAACCAAGTGGTATCCAAACACCTCTAGTCTCTAGTGACTGGAAGTATGGTATAAAATCTTCTTTAAAAACCAACTCCTATTCTGACCACCTGTCCGTTTTTCAGTCTCCTCTCCCAACCTTAGTGATCACAATCAGGTAAACCAAATCCTCCAAGTTGTCCAACCATCTCATCCTCAATCCTCCCCACCTACCCCACCACCCAAAATATTGCCAGGGCCTCTAAGGTCCTGATCCCCCAGACATTCCACTAGTTCCATTCCTGACAATTAACTCCCTTCCTCCTACACCTCAGTGCTGTTCAAATACTGTCATGTGCAAGGCGACAAGTACTCCTAGCTATAAATGTATCTTTGGCCTCAGAATCTCTTCCCTTTTCTTTTTCACCTTCTCTCTCTGCTTCTCTTCATTCCCCTCATTCCCTTCAAACTTAGTATCTCCTTCCTCCTCGTGATTCCTTCAAGGACCACTGGTAATTGAATACAGCAGTTGTTAAGTGTCTACTAGATAGGTTAAAGGGGACCCTCAAGGAGCTCACCCTCAAAGAACTCACAAGTCTAGGAGGGAGAGATCATTTAACCTTTAAAACTCAGGTCCTCCAGGAAGCCTTCTTCAGCCAAAATTGCATCAGTACCCTCTTCTCAGTGCCACCAATACAGTATACCTCTGATGCAATGAGTAGTCTTCGTGTGTGTCTCTCACCATTGGACTGTGGGCTCTGCAATGGGAGGGCCCCTTGAGTCCCTATCACTTAGCCCAGGACTCAGCACAAAGGTGACAGTTAATGTATCTTAAATGAGTGAATGGATGAATTCTGGTATACAGTTATTCATTCACCCATTTGTTCTTTCATTAGTTGACCCAAACTTTACTGAGCATACATTAAGTACAAACTTCTAGTCTGTAAGGATCAATAAAATAGCTCTTACATAAAAATAACTCAAAACTATAATACTAGTAGATTAGCACTTTTCCGCCGGCCCGCATCCCCAACCCCCACCTGAAACTTGGTCCTTTCCCACAGGTAAAGCCCGACCTTCCCTTGCAGAAGTCCACGCCCCTCCAACTCAAGCTACCTTCTCAGCCCTCTAGTTCTAACCCAGGGGCCCCCAGCTAAAAATCTCAAATTGTACACCCCTACCCCTCTGGTTTCTTCCCCTGTCCTCCCTCTCCACCCCTGAGATAACTGCAAGTCTTCTACCCCCAAGACCGCCTTCGCGTCCCGGAGTTCAGGGTACCTCTGATTTCCCTCTCCGCGCATCCGCCCCCTAGTTAGCTCCTTCTCTCTCCAGATCCCGTCTACCCTAGGAAATTAATTATTCCCGATACCACCTCGCTCCTCCTTTCAGTTTTAGGCTGAGTCTCTCCTCGACTCTCAACTCTTACCTCATCTAGCTCTCGTTCTCCCACAGCACCTCCTCCAACCTCCACCTCCACCACTGCCGCCATCTTCACAGCTCTCCCCCTCCCCCGTCCGCCCGCGAGCCAGCTGCTTCCGCCGCTCAAGAGCTGCTAGCCAATCAGCGGCGTAGGCTCGGGCAGAAGGGCGGGGCATCGAAACAGGCCAAGACCCAAAGGGGACTAAGAGACCGTCTACATGGTACTCACTTAAAGGTCAAGGAGGAACGGTTCCCTTGCACTTCCTAGCTTCGGCGGAGGAGGGTTCTTGGAAAATGAGAAGTTAGACTTGTATGATTTTCAGGGCAAATATTTCACCAATTCTCCCGTTTGGAGAACCAAAGAGAAAGGTCCATAAACTGTCAACTTTCGCGACGCTCCCTCACTCTAGACTCCAAGGAGTGAGGCGTGGAGGCTAAGAACTATATTTCCCAGAATGCATTGAATCTGACCCGGAAGTTTAAATTCCGCTCTCTCGAAGGGAAATTTGTAGAGAATAAGAATAAACGTATAACCCGTGGATGTATTTTACCGGTTGCCGCATATGCCTTCTGGCCTCGGTGGAAGTCATTTTTCAGAAACAGCGACTTTTTGAGGCCCCAGAATGAATTCCCGGGCTTCGAGAGACGGAAGAGTAGGTCTCTGGGTCAGAAGGCGGAGGTCAGAGGGCCCAATTGGCGGGAGAATGGGTTTGTGGTCCAAGTTCTGAGGCTGCGGCGGCTCTCCGAGGTTCATTGTCCTCAGTGAGGAGCGTTGGGGGGTTGTTGCGAGGGTAGTGGCCGAAAGGGAGGAGGGGTGGCCAGAACAACGTGTTCCGAGGAGCCTTGAAAGTAGCCGGGCGGCTTACGCTCCAGGAGTCGAAGAGCCTTGCGGTAATTACTCGGCCCCCAAACCGCTGTTTCAAAGTGCTCACGTCTTCGGGCCCACGGGTCACACATCTCGGTACTCTTTCCAACCCCACATCCTGCGTCTCCAGCTCCTACCTTTCCCCCCTTCTTATGCACCTTATTCACTGTGCTGCACCCCAGCTTGTAGTTTAGTACTGTAATTCATTTCCACAAACCTGTTATTTGTACATCCACACCCGACACCTCACAAGCCTGCAGCCCTTGTTCACGCCCCGGGCGTCCCTGCTCGAGCTATCCGGTGAACAGAGCGAGGTTCACCCGTGGGCTCACTAGGTACTAGAACACCAGTCAACTATTTTGGGGCTGTCAAGTGTAAATATTATTTACACCATCTACAGCCAATTTATTTACTTACAATGGGAATTATTTTTATTATGTAAAGTCATACAGAGAGCATTACAAACTCTATACCCATTACCCCAAATTGACTATTGACATCATGATCTATTTGCTTCCTCATTTTTAAAAAAATAAAATAATACAGATAAAAGTTGAACTTCCTATCTTCTATTCTCAGACTCATTACTCTTTCATCTTCCCCAGAAGCAACTAGTATAATTAGCTGTGTATTCTCTCAGTCCATTAAAAAAAAAAAAAGTGTATTCACGGACTATAAGTATTGTATTGTTTAATTTTAGTTTTTTTTAATGAATATAAGTGCTATTTTCTGTGTATCATCTGTGATTTATTCTTTCACTCTATTTTTTTGAGGTCTGTCCATGTTTATGTATATTTACATCTAAGTATTCCTTTTAACTGTAAATATTATTCAGTTATATGATACATAACATTTTATTTAACCATTCCTCAACTAATGTATGCTAGTTTAAACATTGTATGTGTCTTGTGCACATATGAGTCCCTTCTAGAGTTGCACCGTTCAAATAAGTTAACTACTAGAAATGTTGCTCGTCAGAATTAAGATGTACTGGAAGTGTTTATGAGAGGCCCATTTCCCCACATTATTATCAATCCTTTATATTGTAAACACTTAAATTTTTTTCAATCTTATAGGACAAGGTTTGCAGTTTCCTTATTACTAGGTAAGGCAAGGATTTTTTTAATATGGGTTTTTGGTCATTCAGATTTCATCTTAAGTGAATTGTATGTTTTTGTATCTTCTCTCCAGTTTTCTGTTGAGCTGCTTTCCCCTTTCTTACTGATTTGTAGTACTTAAAAATATATAATCTGAATACTATCAAAGTTTATATGTGTTGCAAGAATCTTTTAGTCAGTCATTTGCATTTTAACCTTGTTTGTGTTACCTTAAAGTATCTTGCATGTTTCCATCTTTGATCCATTTGAGTATAATTTTTAAAATATGTTATGAGATAGGGGTCTACTTTTATTTTTCTTCGCATTGTGAACCAGTACACCATTTATTACTTTATCTTTTATCTGACAGAACCATTATTCTGCTCTCTTACAATCAATTAAGCAGGTTGCAAATTCCCATCTATGTGAGTCTGTTTCTGGCACCTATATGCTTGTTTCTATAGACAGTACATTTTAATTACTGTGATGTTGCAATTCTTTTCAAAGGAGTTGAACCTCACTTCTTTAATCTATCTTTCTAGAATCATCTTAGCGACTTGTGGCCCTTTATTGATTAATGAATTTGTCATGTTTGCCAGAAACGTCTGCTGAAATTCTAATTTGAATTATATTGACTTATTAATTATGCTTTTCAATGGCTGTTTATTTATGCCTACTGTATTTCAGGACCTCTCTTAGGTGTGAGAGATTGATGAACATGCCAAAAATCCATATCCTCAAAGAGTTCACTAATTAGTGGAGAGACAAACAGGGTAAACAAGCCATTGCCAAAAAACATGAACAACAGTGTGTATGTATGCTGGAGCTAGGAGGTCAGAAAGTACTTAATCCTTGGATAACTACAGGCAATTTGACACACGATGATCTTCATGAAAAAGACTGTCTATGTCTTATTCACCACTTTGTATTCAGCACCTAGTACAGAGCTTAGTACCTACCAGACAACCCCCAAAATATTAACTAAATAAAATATCCAACATTGACAGCTTCAGGGTCTCCAAGCCTAAAGTGTATTTTGGGGGCTGGCTAGGTCAGACCTCAGTATGTTGGTGATGAGAGATGATGGAGTATTCATAAATGTATACTGGGAATTTCTCCAAAACAGAAATCATATCTTACTTATTTTTATATTTCCAATATCTGGCAGAGAATAGGAAGATTTTTGAATGTTCAGCAAGTTCCTATTATGAGAATAATCAGCTCTAATTAATATGGAGGCCTAGAAAGGTAACTCAGGACTCATGCATTCTTCTCTTTTTGAAGCCTTGGTGCCATAGTGAATGTGATCTGTGAGGAATGCTTGACCTTTAGATGCCTTTCACTAAGAGTTTCTTGCTATCCCACTCTGAGCACTCCATGACTGCTGGCCCTTTGGAGCTCAATTTTTGTGGTCATTCATTCATTCATCAGATATTTGCTAATCCAGAACTGTAAATTTCTTCCTCTTACACTGAGGATACAGAAATGAATCAGACATGAAGCCTGTCCTCCAAGAGCTTACAATTGGTCAAGGGACATAAGATATATACCCAGATAATTATAATACAGAATTGAGAGGCTGGAACTGTCACCTTGAGCCATTTGAACAGAGTGGAGGTGACATTTGAGTGTCAAAGATGTATTCGATTTGACAAGTGGGAAGGGGAAAGAGCATTCCAAGCAGAGTCAATGGCATGAGCAAAATCTTGGAGATGAGAAAAATATTCGGGGGCGGGAAGGAGGCAGGAAGACCTTTATGGCCCTGAATATATCAGGGGTGGTGGACTTATATTCAGGAGCCAGGTGGATAACAAACATGAGTACAAAGGGCAGGGTATAAATATTTGGAGAGAGATCTGCCTATAGACACTCGGACAACTTTAAAGCACCTCTGGCCAAGGAATTGTTGAAGATAGGTGATGGATGCATGTGAGTGCATTATACTAATATGTATGTTTTTGCATATATTTAAAAATTTCCTTAAAAAGTTTAGCAAAAGGTAAATGTACAAATACCCATATGAACTTTTAAGATTAAATAAAAAACACTGATAGGTAAAACACACCCTCTTATGAAAGGAATAGGAGATGAAGCAGAGAATGGAGAGATCTGCATTGTAGATGTTTGAGAGGTCAAGCTGAATTAATATTTATTAAGTACCTACCGTGTAGCAAGCTGAATTAATATTTATTAAGCACCTACCATGTAGCAAAGGACTCTCACACATCAGCAAGCCATTGAAGGTTTCTAGGAGAGTGACTTAATGCAGAGATAAATTAGGAAAATGCATTTTATGGCAAGAAAAAAAAAGAGAGACTTGTATCATATATTTAGTTGAACATGTGTTGCACATCTTTACTATGTGCCAGACTCTAGGGATATAAAGATGAATGATTTAAGGCACAATCCATGCCCTTGGGAGCTCATCTATGGATAAATCCAACATTAACATATCAATATATCTTTTGTACTTGCTGCTCTGTTGCCCTGTGGTTGCATTCCAGTTTTCATTTGTTGGAATCTCATCAGTTGGTACAGATCTGGTCCCTGCCCCCTCCCCCCAGCCTGTCATGGTAATCAGAAACAGTCTGACTGCTACAAATAACTCCTGTTACTAGAGAAACAGCCATGGCTAGTGTATTTTTCTTTTGTTCTCTTCTTCAGGAGTAATATGAAGATTCTTTCTCTTCTGGAAGCTGACGGGACCAAAATGTAGACAGTGCCAAAGTGGTGACAGAAGAAATCTCAGGAGAAAACATTTTTGCCTTGTACTTGGGACAGCTGCTTGGGCCTACCATGGCTCCTGTGAAGATTAGCCACGTGGTTTCGTTTTCCTCTCAGGTATATTAATTAGCAGGCATGTTTTTTTCTTGGTGACTGAAAGGAGTAGAAAATAAAAAAATAGAAGACTTAGCTCCACTTTTAGGAGACTCCCATCCTAATAGGAGAGACATTGTCCCTTCTTTGGGAGTCCAGAGTCGAAGTAGGGAAACGTAACTCTTTCCATCAGGTTGTTCCCAAAACAATGTGGGACACGTAAAAGAACTGTTCCCAGGAATTAAAGGTAAAGAGGAAACAACCTCAGATCCCACCCTTAGTTTGGAGGGAACTGGCAAAGCTATAGGACCAAAGTCTATACCAGGGTTCCCAGAGGGAAGTTTAGTCACTGTTATTGAGAGCAGACCAGGACACTCAAGGTCATCCCTGACCTGTGAGGATATCAGCACCTTCAGCAAAGGTGATCTCAGCCTCCTCCCTAAAAGTCCACTTTCAGGAAATCCCGATTACCCTGATTAGAACTAGATTCCGGGACCTAGCACCCATCCACTGTGGTGATTAAGGACTTCCCTTCCTTTCCTCTGCTGTCACTTCCCTATCCATTTACCCATCCTCCCTGCTCTTCCCCTTCTGTTACCCTAGTCTTTCTCAAAGGGTGCTATTGGGATTTTGGGTCAGATAAGCTTGCATTTTATAGCAGTATCGGTTGCATGGTAGAATATTTAGCATCCAGGGCCTCTAAACCCTAATGACATAATGACAGTCAAAAACATCTCCACACATTTCAGAAAGACCCTTAGAGTGTCTTTAGGAGCTATTGTATCAGCTCCTATTCTAAGTGAAATAGAACAAAAGATACCCTTATCCTCCTTACCTACATAGTCAGCCTAAATGGTTTTCATCACAGTCTCAGCCTTATAAAATGCTAGAGAACATCAGCTATTTTCTAATTCTGTGGTTTTCAAACTGTACTCTGTGAGGACCCACTTTTAGAAGTTGAAGAAGGGATAAGTATGTCTCTAGGCAAACATCCCCCCAAACTGTGCTTTAACCAGAGCTGTGCTTTTATTGAAAAAACACATGCATACACACACACGCACACTTTAGTATAAAACTTCAGTTAAAAGGGAGGGTTTTATTGCTAAAGCAAAAAACTAGATTGAAAACCATGAGTCTAGTCTCCTCATTGTACTTATGATGAAGAATTTTAGATCCAGAGAGAGAAAGTAGTTTGTTCAAGGTCTTTCCACCAAAAATATCAGACTTGGGGTTAGAACTGAGAATTTCTATCTCAGTATCGATACTGTAGCCTTTGAATGAATCACTTTATTTCTGACCATCAGTTGTAAACTTACAATAAAAATCTTTGCCTTTCTTATCTCATAAGGTTACTTTGAAGACAAATATCTGTGAAAACACCTTATAAATGAAAAAATAGGCCCTAGCTGGATGGCTCAGTTGACTGGCGTGTCGTCCTGTATACCAAAAAGGTTGCAAGTTCGATTCCCTGCCTGGCACATACCTGGGTTTCAGGTTTGGTTCCTGGTCAGGGTGTGTACAGGAGGCAGTCTATCGATTGTTTCCCTCTCTCTCCCCCTCTCTTTCTCGGCCCCTCCCCCTGTCTAAGCATGTCCTCAGGTGAGGATTGAAACAAAAAGAGCCCTGGCCTGTGTGGGTCAGTGGTTAGAGCAGCAGCCCAAACACCGAAGATTCACATGTACCTGTATTGTGTGTTCGATCCCCCGCCCCAGTCAGGGCCCGTATGGGAGGCAACCATTCAATGTGTCTCTCTCACATCGATGTTTCTCTCTCTCTCTCTCTCTCCCTCTCTCCCCCCCTCTCCCTCTCCCTCTCCCTCTCTCCCTCTCGCTCTCCCTCTCCCTCACTCCCCCTTCCACTTTCTCTAAAAAAAAGGAAAAAAAAAAAGAAAAAATACTCTCAGGTGAGGATTAACAACAAAAAAGAAAGAAAAGAAAAGAAAAAAATAGTATAGTGTGGTGGTTAAGAGCTCTGGATTCAGAAACCTGGGAGTTTTGACTCTGATTGGTTATTTGGCCTTTTGGCCTTGGATGAATTTCTGAACCCAAGCTTCAGTTTATTGATCTGTTAACTATGAAGCAATAATAGTAACTACTTAAAGTTGTTCTGAGGATTGAATGAGGTAGTCTGGTAAATGAAAGAGAGGTAAACAGTGTCCGTAAATCCCTTGGTATGTGATAGCTGCATTCCTATGGACTCCCGTCTAGTGCCTTACCTATCATGTTGGGATGCCTGGAATGATTTGGGAATACAGGGATTCCTCATTCATGGGCATCCTTTGTTCCGTTGGGCTCAGTAAGGTTCCTGATTCTCTCTTCTCTCTGACTTAGGATCCCAAGTATCCTGTGGAGAACTTGCTGAACCCAGACAGACAGAGGGGACCTTGGCTCAGCTGCCCTCAGGACAAGAGTGGACAACTGAAAGTAGAACTACAGCTGGAGAGGGCAGTGCCCATTGGCTACATCGATGTGGGTGAGTGAGTTCTCTGGGGCCTGGGAACCTCTGTAGGAGAACACAGTAGTAACATTTTCCTCCAAATACTCCACCACAATATCTTAATTCAGTCTGGCTGAGCAGCCTTCATAGAATAAGCCCTAACTGGTGTGGAGGGGAGATGTGGCCTTGCCTTTGGGGCAGGTATGTGGTGTTAGCAAAAACTCTAAGGGTTCCATTCACATTGAATTGAATTTGAATGGCACTGCTTGAATCATGCAACATACCTCCCCTGCTTTGATCTGAGTGGTCTGGGTAAAGCCTTAGGACACTGACATAACTATCAATACCACCAAATATAATTTATATATATTTCTACATATCTGTCAAGAGAATGCTGGGGATGAACTGTGCAGGCTAATCCAGGAAAGCTTCATAGGAGTTTATGAGTTAAAAAGGTTGGCCTTAGAATTCTCTGGAATGGAGAGCAGACAAAGACCATTGGTCTCAGCTCTGTCAGGACAGANGGGTTCCATTCACATTGAATTGAATTTGAATGGCACTGCTTGAATCATGCAACATACCTCCCCTGCTTTGATCTGAGTGGTCTGGGTAAAGCCTTAGGACACTGACATAACTATCAATACCACCAAATATAATTTATATATATTTCTACATATCTGTCAAGAGAATGCTGGGGATGAACTGTGCAGGCTAATCCAGGAAAGCTTCATAGGAGTTTATGAGTTAAAAAGGTTGGCCTTAGAATTCTCTGGAATGGAGAGCAGACAAAGACTATTGGTCTCAGCTCTGTCAGGACAGAGAGATGTCAGGTTCCCTAACAAGGATTTATTTTTTTAACTGATTTTTTAAAATTTTTATTTATTGATTGATTTTTTTTTTTTTTTAGGGAGGGAGAAAGAAAGAGAGATTGTTTTGTTGTTGTTCCACTTATTTATGCATTCATTGGTTGATTCTTATATGTGCCCTGACCAGGAATCGAACCCTCAACTTTGGTGTATCAGGATGACAGAGCCTCCCTAGCAAGAATTTAAGAGAGAGAGAGTTTGGCACTGCCTGCCAAGCCAGAGGACAGGGAAGCAGCAAGTCTATTCAGTCAGGGGAAGGCTTCTTTCTGGCTGAGAGGAGTGCAGTGAACCTACCTTCACGTTGTGATTTAGTGGGCTGAGGTCTCGTTTCACTTCAGGTACTGGCTCATTGTGTTGCTTGACCTTTCTGGGCTTCCAGTTAGCTCTAGAATGGAGGAATATCCTCTTCCCACCTGATTTCCTTGTGTATAGTCATAAGAGCCCTGTCCCATATCCTTCTCTCATCCTTTTGTCCCCAGGTAACTGTGGCTGTGCTTTCCTGCAAATTGATGTGGGCCGTTCTTCCTGGTCCCTGGACAGACCTTTTGTCACCCTTCTCCCTGCAACCATGCTAATGTCCCTAGCTGATTCAAAGCAGGGGAAAAACCGCTCTGGGGTCCGCATGTTTAAAGATGGTAAGGTTGGCAAAAGCAGAAAACGAAGAGAGACTGAGGGAGAGAGATAGATTATGAGAAAAAGAGCTGTGGTACGACAGAGGGCTGTAAGAGCTGGTAGGTGTGAGAATATAGGTGGGAGGGAACCTGTGCTGGGGCTTAGTTATATCTGTTGGGGGCAAAGGGTAGTTAATGAGTGAAAAACTATGTGGTATGTTTGTGAGTGAGTTCTCCATGGTGAGACTACGTGGTACCTCGGGATCTCTATGGGCAATGATTTATAAATATTTACACTCAATATGATTCCCTGAAGCCTGATGTAGAACCCACATGTGTGACTAGTATGTTTTGTTTGTAGAAATGTAAATGTGAATGTCAGTGTTACTGTAGGATGAATGTTTACATAAGTGATAGAAGACTGCATGGCGGTTATAGTTACATAACACCTAATGTCCCCCGAGTTCTGCTCTGTGCAAATCTCTGTGTTCACTAGGCACTGCAGAAAAAACATAAGATCTAATTCCTGGTTTCTGGGGACTTAGGGTTTGTCTGTGTTTAAATTAGAAGTGTTTGTAATATAAAGGAAGTGTGATAAGGGAGGGGCAAACTAAGTAGAAGAGATGAGGCCCTACTAGATAGTGCTGGGAATTGAAGGTGAGAAGGGTTTGTGGTACTGGTGTGTGACACTGTGAGTGAGTGTTTAGGGCATGTAGTGCTGTGAAGGAGGCTGAGGTCTCATGGTCCAGGAAGGGTAGATGTAGATCAGCTACTCTGTTGAGCAAGTGGTCACCCCAAACCCCAACACTACAGATACCTCCTGTTAAAATGAGACATTGATAAAGTCCCTAGAGAAGTGTGGAATGAGGATGTACTCGTTTTGGCAATGGTGTGGAACCATGGCAGGGAGGGGAGGTGGTGTCGAGAGGGCCCTGACTGGCTTGCTTGGCACTGTCAAACCCTGGACACCAAGGCCTGAAGGGTCAGTTACTGATGACCTGCATTATTGCTTTTGTTGGAGATTACTCTATATAGTCTCTGTCCTTGAATAGTCCCTGTCCTTTCCCCTCCTCATACTGACCTTCCCCTTCCTTTCTCCCTCCCATTCATACATTTCCTCTCCCTTTCATTTTCTTTTCCTTGAGATGATTTCCTGGCTCCAGCCTCAGGTGAGTCATGGGATCGACTTCGTCTGACTTGCTCCCAACCCTTTACACGTCATGAGTCCTTTGGCCTGGCCTTCCTGCGAGTGTGTTCCTCTCTGGACTCCTTAAATGACCCCCTGGTGGGTCCCTCAGCCACTGTGAGCTCTGGGCTAAGCCAGGTATGTGTGATGCTGGAGCAAGGACTTAATATTTTCCCACCCTTTTCAGTTTCTGATTGGGAAGCCGTTGCTTGATTGAGTTATACACAAACATACACACACATACATTCAAATATAAATATAAATGGGTTTGCTACCCTTTCTTACAGGTAGGAGTCAACTCCTTCCCTTTCACACATGAAAGATTTAAGTGAGTCAGCCTTCAATATAGTGTACACAAAGCTGTTGGACCATTTGTTCTTTAGCCATAATGAAATTCTCTTGGGATTCAAACTTAATCTCATACTTTATTTCTAGGATCTTGGGGACTCTAGCTTTCATCAGACTTTTCTTTCTAGCACCTGAAACTCTCAGGACTCACTTACAGTCCCTCTGTCATTGTTGGTCCCTGACCCACCTTCTAATTCTTAGATATGTGCTTTGCGATTTCACATGTTCTCCTGCTTTCTCTCCCCATACAAAACACATATACACCTAAGAGAGGATGGATAGGTTTCTGGCTGTGTGTGAGTATCTAGTCAATTTATCTCCCTTTTTCTTAGCCAGTTTTCTAGGTTTTTTTTCTTCCTAAGCCTATTCTGACTCCTCTTTTCTTGTCACTGGTGTCTCCATTTATCTTTCCAAGCCAGTACCTTCCACCATACTTCACTAACAAATATTAAGATATAATCACACAAAGCTAGAGTCATAGAATTCTAGAGATAGAAAAATACTTAGAGATCACCAAGCCCCAACCACCTCATTTTACATCTCAAATGGGGAAACTTACATATGCAGATTCACACAGTGAGTCAGAACAGAGTAGGAACCAGAAATCAGGTCTCCTGTCATTCCACTATGTGCACTTTTATGCACACTATACATTTTTAGAAGCTTCAAACATTTGACATAACCAAAAGAATTTCAGTTCCCAGGAGTGAATTCACAAGCATCACTCCTATTGGGGTTACTGAGAAAAAGAAGAGCCTGGACATTGGGAAGAGAAAAGGGAGTTGCGGGGGGGGGAGTAGATGGTCTTGTACAGCCTTGAGAGAGACCCAGAGAGCTGAGACAAGTTAAGCTTGGTCTGAGATTTCCCTTGTGGAAAGGGCTAAACAATGCAAAAGGACCAGTGGAAGCAGTTCAGTGTGCTCTGCCAGGTTCTGATATTCAAGTGCTGGGAACTGACGTGAATGGAGCTAGAGCTATTCAATCAAGTGGGAGCTCTGTGAGATTAGGAACCTGTTTGTCTTGTTCCATAATGCATTCCTGGCAGCTGGAACAAAGTAGGCTTTGAGTACACATATTCATTATATAAATGACCTTTCAGAGGGGAGTTGTAGATAGGGTCATCATAAAATTTATCATCCAAACTAGGCCACTTTGAGGGCAAAAACGAGTGCTATTAATAATTATACTGAGGCCCTGACCAGTGTTGCTCAGTGGTTAGCGTGCCAGCCCGTGCACGAAAGGGTCATGGGTTCGATTCCCAGTCAAGGGCACATACCTGGGTTGCAGGTTCAATCCCCAGCCAGCCCCATTCCAGGCACATGCACGAGGTAACCAATCAAAGTGTCTTTCTCACATCGATGTGTTTCTCTCTCTCTCCCCCCTCCTCCCCCTTGTGTCCCTTCCACTCTCTGAAAAGCAATGAAAAAAAATATCTTCGGGTGAGGATTAACAAAAAATAATGATAGTAATAATTATACTGAGACAACACATATAATAAGCACTACTGTCCCAGGCAAACCAGGACGGATGGTCTCCTTAATTATAGGACAAATAAAGACTTTGTGAAGTCTTTTCCATTTGGGCCATCTAAATTACTCTGCACTTTTAGGACCATGGTGGGATCAAGGAGGAAGGGAGTCAGTAACTCTGGAGCCATAATGTCAGAAAGGCATTGAACCTCAACAGCAGAATGAAACATGTTGCAGTTACCTCGGTGAAACCATAGGGGAAGGAGATCCTGAAACATTTCTATGAGAGAGGATTGATACATGGACAGGAATTGATGGCACTCAGTTTTATAATTTAAGATGTCTAAAATGACATAGGCTTTTTTTTAATGTATCCTTCTAATGGTAAATTATAGTGAAAGCAAAACATAAAGGCTTTTAATCCTGTGAAATAGGATAGGATCTTTTATGATCACCAGTTTTCCAGTAAGGAAAACAGAAACCAGAGAAGTATAGTGGGATGTCCCAGGTCACACTACTAAATAAGTCTTAGAGTAGATTTAAACCTAGGCCACCTGGCTCCATTTAGCCTGTGCTGGGGATCTCATTTAGAGTTAAAGTTAACCATCTCTATACATCCAGCTCGTTACCATGTGTAGTAGTATTCACTCTAAAATTTATGAGACATGGTAAAGAAAAAATAAAAACTCTGGTAAAGTAAACAAAATATTTCAAAATTAATGCTAGGTCCAAGATGAGATTGTAATGGCAATTAGAAAATATTAAATAGTGAATGTGAATAAAAATGCTATTTCTCAAATTTGCAGAATGAGGCCAAAGTCATGCTTTACAAGAAACACATTTACCTTTAAAAGAATCTGTGATAGAAGAATCAGAGCTGAAAAAAACTTTTTTTAATCTTCACCTGAGGATATTTTTTCCACTGATTTTAGAGAGAGTGGAAGGGAGGGAGGAAGGGGAGAGAGAGACACATCGATTGGTTGCCTCCCTCATGCACCCCAAGTGAGGCTGGGGATCGAACCTGCAACTGAAGTACATGCCCTTGACAGGGAATCAAACCCACAATCCTTTGGTCCACAGGCCAATGCTCTAACCACTGAGCCAAACCAGCCAGAACAGAGCTGAAAAAATTGATTTTAAAGTTTAATTTTTAAACTTCAAGGAAATTTGAAAAAAATAAAAAGAACTAGCCACAGATGAATCAGTGGAGATAAATTGAGTTCTGGCAAAGAATTAAGAAATTATAGCATTCCACATAAAATCTGTGTAGAAATTATCTATTGTGTGGTTATTACACATAGACATTTCTGGATTTTGAAGGAGAGAGGTTTATAAAATGCCTGTGATAGATATAGTGGCTGCTAGAAAGAGATATGTGTCATCTATATACACATACATATATACACATCTCTCTTTATACATGGCTAGAAATTGTTAGGTTTTTTATAGATGGCTAAAATTGTTATATTTTTAGTTGCAGGTAAACAAAATTGTTTACAAAATAATAGTAATGGAAATTAAGCAATATTATTAAACAGTATTTAGAAAAGTAATAAAAATGTCTCCAAATAGTTCAAAATAGAACTATTTTAAAATATAAAGAAATATATGTGTATTATTTGTTTCACATAGGTGTATATAGATGAGTGATTTTTGTACCTACATAAATCAATTTTATATATATACACAAATATATATATGTACATATATGTATATATATATGTGCTTTCAATATCAGTTTGCATATGATATCAATCCCATAGCCCTTTTCCTCCCCAACAGCATGTATTCTTTTATCCCAGGTCTTTCAGGATCATGATAGAACCCTTAGCATTGGGGGGGGAAATATACAAAATCACAGCCTAGAGCTGGAAGAGAGTATGCACACAAGCAAAGGTACCGCGTACAAGTTGTAGCAGGTACATTCACTCACTGAGCTGAAGTCATCAGGTTTGGGAGTATGCATGGCACTAGGTGGCAGCGTCCCCTGGTGGTGAATATTCATATTTTATATTTCTCTATTTTCTTTTCAGGGCTCTTATAATGCTTCAGACTCTGGTCCCAGCCCCTGGATGGCTAATCCTTCCATCCGGAGGACATTCTTCCCAGATCCCCAAACGTACGTAGCTGCCAGAATGGAGATCTCATTCAGAGCGGAGGTCAGCCACTTTTCAGTTCTTTCTCCTGGGAAAGAAAAACTAAGTCGTTCATAGGATGCAAACCCCACCTCAGTTCCCCCAATTAATCACAAACTCCAGACCTATATCTGTATATCAAACTGGCTTTCTTGGTTACATGCCACTGACTTGAGTGAGCAAAACGGAGTCTCTGTTCTGAGTGAAACCAAGTACTTTCTGTTTCCCTGCAGGAGCACCAAGGAAATTTCAGAGCTTAAGAATATCCTAAAGCAGCTGCAGCCAGGGACTTTGGGGCGTTCAGCTCGCATGGTGCTTTCAGCCGCCCGCAGGGCACCTTCAGCCATTGTGGCAAGCCCAAAAAACAACCCTGAAGAACCAGGTCCCAGTCATCCAGATAGTGCAGGTGAGGTCCCATGACCCACCTTTGGCTCCTTGCTCTCCCTAGCACCATCCTTCCTCCTAGAATCCACCACTGCTCTTCAGGGATGGCTCACAAATGGGACTTCATGTGGGAGAAAAGACAATTGCCAGTGTCATTACCAGAAGAGAAACCAAATATGGTATAGTAATTGAAAGAGCACTGGCCTATGGTATGGCTCAGTTGGTTCAGCATCATCCCATGCACCAAAAGATCACTGGTTCAATTCCTGGTCAGGTCACGTGCCTGGGCTGTGGGCTCAATCCCCAGTAGGGGGTGTGCAGGAGGGAACCAATGGGTGTTTCTCTCCTTTCTTTTCTCTCTAAAATAAATAAATAAAAAATAATAATAAAAATAAAATCAATAAAAACATTTTTTTAAAAAAAAGAAAGAAAGAAGGAGCACTGGCCTAGGAATCAGGAATCCTAATCTCTTTGGGCTTCAGTTCTCTCATCTTCAAAGCAAAGGAATTAAACCAAATGGTATTTAGGCCTCTTGCAGTATTAATGTTCTGTGATCATCTCAGAAGAACAATTAAGTCAGGGTGATGGTCTATGGAGCTTATTGGAGAAATAAAGTAGGGGAATAGTGTGCTTTTATCACAGAGGAAGAAAGGATTAAACCTTCTGGAGTTCCTACTTTGTACCAGACATTGCTGGGCACTTTTACTAACTTTATTTGATATTCACCACAAACTTACAAAGTAGATACTGTTAAACTAATTTTACAACAGTAACTGAGGTTCATAGAGGTAAAGTATTCTGAGTCACACAGCTAATAAGTGGCAGAACTGGGATGTGAACCCAGAGCTCTTGTTCTTCTTACTATTCAAGAATAACTATAGCAAGAGAGAGAAAACAGAGTTCTCATTGAAAACCCTTGGTTTTACTCAGTGCTTCACTGGAAAAAAATTTTTATTTTATTTTTTGGAAAAATTTTTTAAGGAAATGGTTTATCATTCCAAAGAACTGAACAAATTAGTGAAATAATGAGTATATGATTTCATTGCAGGAGTAGGGTATATTGGTTATCTATTGTTGCATAACAAATTACCCCAAAATGTAGTGTCTTAAAACAATACTTATTTCATAGTTTCTCATGGTTAGGAATCTGGGCGTGGCTTAACTGGGTCCTCTGGCTCTGGATGTGTCACAAGGATACAGTCATCTCAAGGCACACCTGGAAAGGATCTGCTCCCTAGCTCACTTACATGGTTGTTGGTAGGATTCAGGGCTGTTGGACTGAGGCTTCCCTTAGTTCCTCTGTCACAAGAGCCTCTCCCCAGAGCATCTCACAGTATGGCAGCTTGCTTCACCACAGCAAACAAGCTAGGAGACAAGAGAGAGAGTGCTAGCAAGAAAAAAGTCAGTCTTTTGTAACCTAAGCAGAAGTTACATCCCATCACTTTTGCCAAATTCTACTCATTAGAAACAAGTTACTAGGTCCTGTCCACACTCTAGGGGAGGCATGAATATCAGGAGGCAGGAATCAATGGGAGTCATTTCAGAAGCTGCCTGCCACATAAGGAAGGATGTTTATTATTTTAAGAGATGGAGAAAGGAAAGGAAACTAAATTTTTTAAGGTATCCTACAGGCTGGGCACTGGAGCTATGAAAGCACTTTGAAACATGAAATGCTATACACAGTATTTCATAAGTTCTAAATAACTAGGTGGATGGTTGTTGCTGGATTTTGTTATTACTCACTTGACACATTTATTGAACATCTCTGTGCAAGGTTCTGTGCTAGGTGCCAGGGTGTCACAGTAAATAAAACAGCAATGCTCCTACCCTAATGGAGAGTCCTGTGTCAGTGTCACACAGGAAATCTAAAACTTAAAACTATGGTAAGTGCTTCAAAGGCAAAGCAGGATAGGATGACCAGATTTAGATTAGAGAACCCAAGGAAACTTCCTCACAGGAATTAGCATTTCCTCTAAGACTTAGAATTAACCAGAAAAAGAGAATAGAAAGAATATTGTTAAAAGAAGGAACATCAGCCTTGGCCCATGTGGCTCAATTGGTGAGGCGTCTTCCCATGTACTACTGCAAGGTTGCTGGTTCGATTGCTGGTCAGGGCACCTGCCTGGGTTGTGGGCTGGGATGATCCCTAGGCGTCATGCAGGAGGCAACCTATCGATGTTTCGCTCTCACATTAATGTTTCTCTCCCTCTCACTTCCTTTCTCTCTCAAAATCAATAAAAACATTTTTATTTAAATTTTTAAAAAGAAGGAGCATCATGTGGGAAAGCCCTTTTATTAATGAGCTAGACTGAATGAGCATTTTCACACAGAGCCCAGACCAGAGGAGCAAAACTCAGAGAATGATGTGGACAAGCCAAAGAGACAGAAAATGCGACCTCGCAGGTAAGTATGTCAACCTGAAAGAGCCAAATCACCTCCCCAAACCTTACTGTGCGTCTTCACTTGTCCTTCCCCACTCATGTTTCAGTTAAGTCAGAGAGTACCCTGTATCTGGTCTTGATCTCGTGGTCTAGACCTAGAGGGTAGTAGAGAAAAGATGTCCTTGTCCACATGTTGTCAGGCTTGGAGCTGGGCAAGGAGGCAGCCCTGTAGTGAACCAGAATTTGAAGCTCAGTACACTGTATTTCTTGGACTTCATTAAAATTTAAATCTTTTTCTGCTTTAGTGGATACTGTCAAGAAAATAAAAAGATAACCCACAGAATATGTGAGAGAATATTTCCAAATCATACATTCCATAAGGGACTTGTATCTAGAATATATAAGGAACTCTTACAACTCAACAATAAAAGAACCTAATCTTTAAAATGTTCAAAGTATCTGAATAGATTTTTCTCCAGAGAAGATATACTGGGTATATACAGGGTTTGTGGGGATAGAAGAATGGGAGTGACTACTAATGATTCAGAGTTTCTTTTGGAGGTCATAAAACTGTGAAATTTAATAGTTGTGGATATTCACACAACCTAGTGAATATCCTAAGACCATTGAGTAGTGTACTTTAAAAGGATGAATTTTATGGGATGTGCATATATCTCAATAAAAAAATAATAAATCTAAACGCAGTAATAGAAACTCTGTTCTCAGATGTTCAAAGGTTAAATGACTTCCCTAAAGTCTGATATATCAAATGGGAAAAGCAGGACGCCAACTCAGGACTTCTGGCTCCACATCACTAGTCTACATTTTTTTCACCCTAATTTTAAGTTTCCTTCAGACCTTATGGCCTCTTGCCAATAACTGGTCTTTAACTGTTCTTTCTCACAGGCCTTTATCCAAGTTGAACTCTCAACCAAACAGGAGAGGGAGAGCAAAGGCAGGGCGGAGAGACCACCACCAACCCCCAGCCCAAACTAGCAGAGTCCAGGATAGTGGAGAGTGCCCCATTTGTACAGGTAAGCTGCTTGGGCCAGGGGGTTGTTATGGGACTGCAAAGCATCACTTGAGGGCAGATTAGGAGATCTGAGAATGGTGCCAGGAAACATTTGAACTTGGACTCCTAGCCTCTGTCTGCTGGGCAGTTACATACAAGTCTATATTGAGCACCTGCTCACACTGTGTTGGCCAAGCTGAGGAAGGGATGGGCCATGCCCTCAAGGAGAAACATGAAACAAACCAGTATAAAAACACTATCAGATATTTTTTCTCACTCTAATTGTTTATGCAAGATTGCTCATTAGGAGCCAATAGAATACTTAAAGATACCTTTAAAAATAAATTACTGAGCCTGGCTGGGTGTGGCTCAGCAGTTGAGCACTGACCTAGGGTCCAGGAGATTGCGGTTCTATTCCCAGTCAGGGCACACCCCTGGGTTGTGGGCTCGATCCTGTCAGGGGTGTGCAGGAGGCAGACCGATCAATGACGACTCTCTTATCATTGGTGTTTCTCTCTCTCTCTCCCTCTCCCTTCTCTTTGAAATCAATAAAGATTTTTTTTTTTTAATTAAAATTACACTACTGAAAAAAAGCCCCCAAAAAACATCACTATCAAAGAGGGCCTAGAATTTCCTTCATAACTTTTTCCTGTGTCCAAATTCTACTTACTCTCTGAGTCTCTGTTCAAATGTTACTTATATGCCAAGTCTTCTCTAATCTTCTCAGATAATCTCTCCCAAATGAGATCCTGCAGCATTCTCCCATTCCCTTGGGCTTCCCACTTCTCGCCTTCTGCTTTGTATCATACCTACTTGCGGTCATCGCTTAGCTTTACCCCTAATTCTACATACAGTCCATAAGGACAGGTCTGGGTTTAAATGCCTCGACTCCTAGCACAGTATCAGGCACATAGTAGATACTGGATTAATGTTTAGTGGATGCATGACCCAATAGTGTCTCTATGTAAAATATTCAGTTCCTATAAAAACAGCTGCATTTTGACAGGCTGCTTGGGGTGGCATCCTGCTGGGAGCAGGCCCAATTTTGCTTACCTCTTTCTCTCCCCCTTAGCCTCCTTCAGCATTGAGATTCTTCCCCAGCATGCTGCCACTTGTGGAGAGACCTCCCCACCTCACCTAGCCTCTCCCTCCTCATCACCTCCTTCATCGCCATCTGTGCTGTGGGTGTCCTCCTCAGAGAGCTCATCACCTGTCTCCTGGGTCCAGTGCCCTATCTGCCAGTTACAGTTCTTAGCAGGAGAAGTAGAAGAACATGCCAGCATGTGTGGGGAAGTACCTTGGGCATGAGCCATGAGGTCCTGTGGTTTTGGGCCCCTTGCCCTCTGTGACTAAAACTGGGGACTGGATCTCTTGACAGCTAAGAAGGACTGATGAGGCCAAGTGCTTTCTCTGCTTCCCTCCACTCATTCCCTCAGGACTCTGCCTGATGGCACCTTTGGGCCCAGCCTGCTCCCCACTCTCAGTTGTCATGGCTTCTGTCACCATGGCACCTTATTTTCGCAAGGATGGCTTCATTCTTTTCCCCCTTGGAACTGCTGGGGTAGAACTGGTTATCTCTCTAGGGCTTTGAGACACAGGCAAGATGTCTTCCCCTAGTGAGTATGCATCCTTGTGCCCATTTTCCTGAAAGGAAAACTGAGGCCCCGTGAAAAAAAGCACTCCCTGATAAATAAGATCCTGTGATGTACTGGGAAGGTGATTTTTGATCATGAGACCTACCTCTAGTATCCCATGAACTTAACTCTCCGTATGTTTATATCTTTCTAGATATAATCAGGTAACCATGTTGCTGTGTGACTTTAAACAAGTTATTTATCTTGGGCGCAGAAATAACCCACAGTAACTGAGATAAAACCCCTGTCCTGTTCACAGCACTACCATAGGGTTCAGATGGGTTAATGACTAAGGAATGGCTCTAGGCTTGGCTGTGGAACCTTGGGCAAATCCTGGTCCCCACCTGTACAATGAGGCAGTTGGACCAGAGAGTCTCTAAGGTCCCCTCTAGCTATGACTTTAAATTCTATTCCCACCTTTTTTGAACATCTATGTCCTCTCTTCCCGTTCCCAGAAGATTTCATTGTGTGGCACTAACATCAGTTCCCCTGGTCTCCAGGGTACAGGGCTGAGGGGGAGCAGCTGGTCCTGGCAAAGGGAGGGCCTAGGGCGGGGTTTTAAATGAATAGGAAAGAGGCAGCTGGACACAGGAGCAGACAGAGCAGGAGTTCTGTGGATACAGTGGGGATCATCCCCATCTCACAGCATAGGTGGGTGCAGCCATGGACCCCCTTACGGTAAGAGGACTTCTGCTCCCCTATCTTCCCCCATCCTGGTCCCATTTCTGGCCATGATTAAAACAATAGATTTACCAAGCCAGGTGTCAGGGGCATCTTAGCTGCTGTGCAAGTGGTGGACGTCACCATGTGGATGGAAGAAGAGCCCTTGGAGCCCTGAGCCTGGGCCCAAAATAGAAGAGCAATAAGGATGGGCTGGGCCTGGTAGAAGAGAGGCAGCACTGAGAGGGGGAAACGCCACCCCGTGCGGGATGTGGCAAAACCAGGGAAGGGGGAGAGTTTGGTGGAGGAAGAGTGTGTTAGAATCCTGCTACGAGGCCTGGACAGAGCTGAGGGGCTTGGGAAAAGCGCAGTTCAAGGACCCTCCTATGTGGGCATGTCTGGACCTGTCCTTCAGAGGCGCAGGGACTTCCAGAGGGATGAGCAGCTGGGAGATGAAGTCAGCACGATGGGAGCTGGGTTCTGCACAGATCCTATGTGACTGGGTGGGGGTTAGGCTCCCAGTGCAGCCCTGTTCCCTGTTTTAATCTCCCCTTTCTCCATTAGGCCTCACTGTGTGGGTTCCTGTGAGGATGGAAGTTGTGCTAAGGAAGGGGCCCCAAATCAGACCCAGTTCTGGTGCTTTTCTAACCTGAGAACTCACATAATAAAATGATGACTAAGAAAATTTTTGTTAGTATGTGTTTGGGACAAGGAAGAGTATAATGGTGGCTGGGGATAGAGAGTTAAAGGCTTGAAAGTGGGAGAATGAGTAGGAAAGAGGCAGCTGGACACAACTGGGAGCAGACAGAGCAGGAGTTCTGTGGAAAACAAAGGGGGTTGGAAACTCGGAGTCCCACCCTCTCCTTTACCCAGCCACAACCTAACTGGACCGAGATCATGAACAAAAAGCTGAAGTTCCCACCTCCACTCCTGGGTGCCATCCAGGAGGGGCAGCTGGGCCTCGTGCAGCAGCTACTGGAATCAGGAGTTGAGGCCACAGGCAGTGGGCCAGGCGGTCCCCTACGGAACGTGGAGGAGGCCGAGGACCGCTCCTGGAGGGAAGCTCTCAACCTGGCCATCCGCCTTGGCCATGAGGCCATCACTGATGTGCTGTTGGCCAATGTCAAGTTTGACTTCCGGCAGATCCACGAGGCACTGCTAGTGGCCGTGGACACAAACCAGCCAGCAGTGGTGCGTCACCTGTTGGCCCGGCTGGGACGGGAGAAGGGCCGCAAAGTGGACACCAGGTCTTTCTCTCTGGCTTTCTTTGACTCATCAATCGATGGCTCCCGCTTTGCGCCTGGTGTCACTCCACTCACCCTGGCCTGTCAGAAGGACCTGTACGAGGTAGCCCAGCTGCTCATGGACCAGGGCCACACCATTGCCCGGCCCCACCCCATCTCCTGTGCCTGCCTCGAGTGCAGCAATGCCCGCCGCTATGACCTGCTGAAGTTCTCCCTGTCCCGCATCAACACCTACCGTGGCATTGCCAGCAGGGCCCACCTCTCGCTGGCCAGCGAGGACGCCATGCTGGCTGCCTTCCAGCTCAGTCGCGAGCTCAGGCGCCTTGCACGCAAGGAGCCCGAGTTTAAGGTTGGTTTCTCATACTTTCCCCTGCCCTCAGTGCTGGGTATGGGTCCTCCCACCAGGATGTGGTTGGGCCTGCAGTGGGTGTTCTGGGAAGTGGGAAACAACCAGAAGATGAGGCCTCTTTCTGTTCTCAAGAAGCCTCCCTTTTGATAGGGAGTCACAGAGTCTTGCCTTAAAGGGGATTCATTCGAATGGCAGAGAGCTGTCACTTGAGGGGCATCTTGTCTTATGGGGGTGGCACAAACCCCACCCTAGGGGTGCACTGGGTCTGTCTGAGGTAGGAGAGAAGACAGAGACAGATAGAAAAGCAACTGGACAGACTGAGATGTCAGTAGAACCTGTCTTCTCTGAACACCTGGACCTGCCCAGAGCATGGCATGTTGGGGCCTCCGGCTTGTGCTCACAAGCAGGGAGATGACAGAGAGAGGCAGACAGGACACTCCCAGGATGCTCAGCTTCATTCAGTGCCCATGTGATGGTTCTACAAGGACTCCAACACCCAGAAAAGAGAGGTCAGGAAGCAATAGCTCTTGTGTTCACAGCAGACCCCTTGGAAAAGACAGGATTAATCTTGGCTACACAAGTGGGTGGTTTAATACAAGTGAAGAGGAGTAAGCCAGGTAGGCTCTCAGGTAGCAAAAGTAGACACAGTGATGCATGCAGGAGCCTGTACAGGACAGAGAATGAGGGAGGCCTGCAGGCAGGGACTGGTCAGAGCCTTGAGCACCACCTTTCTAGTTCCATCCATCACTCATCCACTGACATCCCCTCTGTGCCAGGAAAATTTGGTCCCCATGTTCAAGATTATCATTAGATGGGAAAACAGACAAGGATATTAAAACGAGGCCTAAGGCAGGATGTGATATGTGCCAGGAGACTTGGGGAAAGAGCCTGCTGCTTTACCAGGGTAGTGAAGGATTGGAGAACAAAGAGGGAACAGTAAAGAGCAGTCCTTTCCAAAGGACTTCCCTCCATTCTCACTAGCCCATGGAAGGACATGGCAGGAATTAGCATCCCCCTTTCTAGGCAAGGGAGCTGAGTCCTGGAAAGCAGAAGAACCTTACCCAGTGTGGCACCACCTGAAGGACAGTGTTGGGACTCAGACCTGGCCTTCTGAAATCTCAGGCTGGATTCCTCTGGGTTTAGAGCCCCAAGTAAAACCGAGGAAAGGATAAGAAAGATCTGCCTTACTCATGTCTGCCTTTCCTCAAACTGGGCTCTTATATAAGGTAGTTGCTCGGGGAAATCAAGTAAATGAACACAAGTAAGGTGTGAGAGTAGTAGAAGTGGGACAGGAAATAGAAACTAGAAAGGTAAGTACAAGGATGGGCAAAAACTGGCTGAGGGGTTTGGGTTGAAATGACTTGGTAATGAGACAGAAGCAGCATCAGATATGCAGAGTTGACATTGAAAGTACCTCATTATAGCAAGAAGGAGAGGTGAAATAGCACAGAAGAAAGGAATGGATGACCCAGGGTGACACCAGATGTGGGAAGTGATGGCCCAAGGGCAGGACTGAGGTGGCCCAGGCCCACTATTGGGAGGGTGGGGGGCTGACAATGGGGCTGGGTCCATAGAGTGGCAGGCACACAGGAACCTGCTTCCCTACAGCCCGAGTATATTGCCCTGGAGTCACTGAGCCAGGACTACGGCTTTGAGCTGCTGGGCATGTGCCGGAACCAGAGCGAGGTCACTGCAGTGCTCAATGACCTGGGTGAGGACAGCGAGACTGAGCCTGAGGCCGAGGGCCTGGCCCAGGCCTTTGAGGAAGGCATCCCCAACCTGGCAAGGCTGCGACTGGCCGTCAACTACAACCAGAAGCGGGTCAGCTGGGCCCTACTGGCCACTACCCTCAACCCCCTGCCCAGCCCTGATCCCTTGCCTGATCCCTATCCCCACCCCAACCCTAAGGAAGTCCTTTCCCTGCTCTCAAGACCCTCTTAGACTTGGTTCTGAGCACCCTTCTATCTAGGCCCCTGATCCTATGGGTCTCCCGCCCTCCCTTCCTACCTTCAGTCTAAGCCCCTAACCATTCCCCAGCCCTTGGAAGTCCCATTGCCCCAGGGCTCCTCCTGCCCTCCAAACATCTATGTCTTACACTCGGCTCTGCCTCTGGCCCACTGAGTAATTTGTTCCAGTATTTTTCCGTTGTTAGACTTCAGTATCTTACTCTGTTCAGCAAGATTAGACTAGATCTCTCAGGGCTTAGATATCAAGTGATTTCATTAGATGCCCTGACTCATCAGATGCCCTCTCCCCTAAGCTAAAGGTAGGCTCCCTTTCCAGTCTCCCCAACCCCTTACTCTCCCCTCTCACATATCCTAGCCCACCAAGAGCTTACCCAAGCACCTTCCTTCATAATGCACCCCCCCCCCCCC